GTGAAATATATTTATGTTTGTAGTTGTAATGTGACAAAATATGGAAAAGTTCAAGGGGTATGAATACTTTTGCAAACCACTGTATATGATATTACTTTAGATGCAGTTGCATTCTTTTTAAATAAAAATCAATTATTATGGTAAGTTTCTTAAATTTGTAGTTAATAACCACAGTATTGTAAAATTTTTGTATTTTATTAAGATTTCACTTAGTGTTCTTTCATTTTTTTATTTTTATATTTTCTGTTTAGTTGGTTTTGCACTAGTGTACTTAGTTGCTAAACTTCAGTGTGATACTTTTGTAGAACTCAGTTCATGTGGCTAATTTTACAATGGTCAAAATATATAAATTAGATGAAAACAACATAGTTTCCAACTGTTCATATTCAGTAATATTGAGATGGTTAATTTAATAATTCAAACTTGGAATAAACTAAAATTACATTAATACTTATGTTATTATTTTTACATTATTGTTTTAAGCCAGTAGAGGGCAATGTTTCTCTTGGATTGTCTTTGCCGGTTTCTCTCTTTGTTTACTCTTGTAAACTCTTTTGGTATTTGTCCTGTCCGATCGTACATGTTTGTACAGGTTTATGACACGCCCCGATGTGAAACAGAAATGCCTCGGAGACTTCTTGGACTGGAGTCTCACCATAATCTCTCAGACCAGTGACTGCTCAGTGAGAGACATTATGGTGCTGGACGGTGCTCTGCAGTCTTTGGTAAACGTTTGCACCTGTTCTAAAACATGCATACCTGAATGTTTGTGTACGTGCGCCATTCGATTAGACCTGCAGAGGGTAATTTACAAGCGCAGACATGACTGGTATGTTTTACACAATACCCAGTGCGGTTTTTAGCAGGTGTGTAATGCACCTGCTGCTTGTATGGGATCTGTTGCTTCAAGTGACTTGAGACAGTTTAATCCACTGCTTTAGGCTAAACGGTTTTTCAGTAGTTGAGAGCAGCGCTGAGGGAAATGGGATTTTAATAAATTATTTTTTCCACCTAATACTTTTTACAACACTTCACTGCAGTTATCTATTAACAAAGAATAATTCCTAAGCTGATTATTTTAGGATCTAAGATAATTTAAGTACATACATTTATTGGCACATGAACTTGCTTGACATGTTTGGAAGGTGTCTCATTGTATTTGATGACTGTGATAAAACACTCAGCCTAGATGTTGCTGTGGCCTCTCAGAACTGGCTTTGTGCATTCTGTCACCAGGTCAAAATGGTACAAAGCATAAAAAAAAACTTGTATCAATGACTAAATTAGCATTACTGTTGCTAGTAAAATAAACACTATTTTTAAAAGTGACGTGTTCAAGCGTTTGATTTTTTTTCTTCTGCTAATAATAGGCGAAGCTTTTTAAACATGGAAAACGAGATGACCTGTTACAGTACGGTAGGTTTCATTTTTTCCTTTTTAAATTCATCTGCGGTGTGGTTTTATGTTAATTTGTCCTGAATCACTTGTCATTGAAAGAAGGGTGTGATTGTGAAATGTTTGTGCTTGCGCAATTATTTGTGTACAGAATCTTTTCTGTAGGAGGGGCGCTAGGAAGTTTAAATTCTCCAGAGCTTTCTCATCTATGAATATGTTTCTTTGACTTTTTATTTAGTGCTCAGCTAAATTTTAAAATATAGCGGCATCTGTTTAGACAAATACAAGGTAAATCTAAATGGACTGAAGCATAAATGCTGTTATTATATGTCTGTTATATTAATGTTTTTGTGTTGCATGTGAACCCCTAGCTCCTGCAATTATGCAGTGTCTGGAGCAGAAACGTCTGTCAGAAAGTAGTGAGGGAAAGCTGCGAAAGCTGAGTGTCAAACTCATTCAGAGGCTCGGCCTCACCTTCCTCAAGCCACGTTTAGCTGCTTGGAGGTCAGACACAATACTAACCTCTTGTATATGCTTGATAATGTATAGTGAGCAAAACTGTGTCATATTGTACTAGTTTKGTCTGGATGAGAAACAGGCACAGAATGAAGGGTTTTTTAATGTTAATGTGAATATTTCCAGATACCAGAGAGGCAGCCGCTCCCTTGCAGCCAATCTCTCCATGTCCCAGCCTATCACTGATGCTGCCACTCTTGAGGCTGAGACACAAGAACAGGAGGAGGACTATGACATTCCAGAGGAGCTTGAGACTGTTATTGGTAAGTTACCACTTCCACTTCCACAATATTTGTGTTGAACCAAGCTAAATTTATATTTTATTTTGCAGAGCAACTGCTGGTTGGATTGAAAGATAAGGAAACGATTGTGCGCTGGTCCGCAGCAAAAGGGTAATGATGCTTTCATTTGACATCCAGCAAACTTGAATCAATAATGCTAATGCATCCTTGTTGCTACTTGTCTTTGGCATTCTTGATATAAAAGGCAAGAGTTTACAAGCCACTAAAATCTATTTTGTTGAAAATATCAGTATTGGGAGGGTGACTGGAAGGCTTCCCAAAGAGCTGGCAGATGAGGTGGTTGGATCAGTACTTGACTGCTTCAGGTAGGTTCACGCTTGAGGCACACTAGCTCAATCATTTGTCACCCCTCTACTATTTATTATCTCTTTAGATGTATTTAAAAAAATGGTGCTGTTTTGCAAGTCATTTAATTTTCTGCATGTTCTACGTTTTCACCTGTTGTGCACCTGTGTTCTTTATCAAGCTTCCAAGAAACGGATAATGCTTGGCATGGAGGCTGCCTCGCCCTGGCAGAACTGGGTAGGAGAGGACTGTTGCTCCCTTCAAGGTTAACTGATGGTATGTTGTTTGAAATACATAACAGTTCAAGAAGCCATGTGTTTGCAGGGGTAGACATAACCATTGTTTGGGTTGTCCGAGACAACCTATTTTCATTTCGGACAACCAGATCATGTTTCCTGGTTGTCCACCGGACAACCAAGAAAAAAAGACCTTGATTAAAGTTCTCTGCCATGGGTGTTCGTCACTTGTAAAAATGAAAGGGAGAAAAAACTTGGTAAAGCCGAACAAAACACTAATGTACATAGTATACTCCTATTTAAGTGAAAATGTTTGACCTATGAGCAGAAAGAAGTTTATGAATGTTGGGTAACCTCTAGATTTTATTAGCAACATTTTTGCTGATTTACTTCCTGAGCCTTAAATACTCTATTTCAAAGAAGAGAATGAGGAAGTTTTATTCACACAGATCCTGTCAACCTGGCTGATTGAGAACAATTATATATAATAAACTTTGTCTACAGAACAATATACTTGTTAAATTAGATTTTTCTTGAGATTCTTTTGAACAACCAAAATGTTTTGCGGACATCCAGGTTTAGTCAGCAGGTTGTCCGCTGGACTACCTGAAAAATATCATTATGTCTACCCCTGGTTTGTCATTTATTTATTTATTTAGTCGTTTTTACAGCTATTTACATTTCCAGAACAAGTTCATTTCCACATCTTAAAGCAGGTTTATATACAATGCAAACTTTCTTATTCATGAGTCCCTTTTTAGCCCTTCAAATCAAATGTGAGAACAAGGTTTATACAGGTCTTACACACCTGTAACAACAAGTCTGCCTATCGAACAAGTTTTCCTTTCCTCTCTTTGTAACATACAACCTTGCAGCAGCACTTGTTGGCATGTCATATCTACACGTGGATCACCACCACTCAGTGCTAAATCAACAGATTCTTTTGATGTCGAGGCTTGCAGTCGTAAAAGTCAGATTTTCAGTCCTAATCACAACATTTCTGCAACAGTCAGTGTTTCGTTTTAGAAGCGAGGCCTCCTCCTCAGAGCCCGCCRAGATGTTTTTGCTTTCTTGATTGGTTTATGGCATTTGCTCTCAGTCTGGCCATTGTGTGTTCTTTTTGTGGCTGTTGTTGTAGCCCGTGTTGTTGGCATGGCAGTCTTCAGGGAAGCAATACTTGTAGATTCCAGCAGCTCTTGAGTGGACTGATTTACAGCATTGYAATTACTTATAGAGGCTACAGAGCTTGCAGTGGCAAGTTGGCAAAGTGCCAGAGCTGCAGTCTGCCTCTGATCACATGGTTCTTCATCCAGATCTTTCTCAGGTCTCTGTAGAAGATCTTCTTGAGTGGTTGGGGCAGAGCCATGTACGAAACTGCTTTGAGAAGCTCGGAGGCTGAGATTTAGCGGTAACTCATTGCCGTTTATTTTCTTTTTGTCTGAGCCTATTGGGTTGTGCTCTTCGGGGTCCTGGTTTCTTGTGGAGAGGTTGAGCGGAGCCAGATTTTCCGTGTCATCCTTGTGGCGTTCTTCAGACGCTGTTTTGGGAGATGGCTCAGGAGCAGATGAATAGTGGCTGCTTTCAGCTGATCTGAAAGGAAAACAAAGCCAAAACGAAATGGTAAAGATAAACTTCTTCTAGCACAAGTAGAAGAAAATTACTAAAACGAAACATAAAAATAGAAGAAATTGAACTCACCCTGCATTTAGGCTTCTTAGCTGTGGCAATGTTTCTGAAGACTCCTCTTGACTTAAATCTTTTTTGATGAGTTCCATAGCTTTAGATGTTTGCCCAGGCTGGAGTGAGGTCCCTGTCTCGCCCATGTCAGAGTACTGTGAAGCTCCTGCTTCTCTCTGAATGATGTCTGCCTGACTGGGTCTGTCCGGGGACCCCGAAGCTGAACAGCCCTCTTTAGGGCTCAGCCTAGTTGCTTTGTCCCCATTTTGATCACGGTGATTCTCCTCTTGGGTGGAACTYTGTGGATTGTTGTGACTAGGACGTGAATACATGTATAAATCATAATCCTTATGGCCAAGGCCTGGAGTGCAGACATCCAAAGGAAGATATCTGTGTCCTGGGATTGGTATAGGAATCTCATGGGGTCTGTAAAAGGCGTAATGCACYGGGGGTACTGGGTGAAGAGGATGAAAGTATCTGTAAGGGTAAGGTGGGATAGGGGTAGCATGAGGCGGAACAATGGGCTGTTGTACCATAGGTCTTTGGGGTTCTATGAAGTCTGGCTGGAAAGAGTTTGGCTCATTTGGATGAATGTGTCCTGGGAGGTAATATGGTGAATACAGGTGTCGGTCAGGCAAAAGGTAAGGAGAGTAGTCAGAAACCATGAGGGGGTTGAAAGATTTTAAGGGAACAGATGAGGGAATTCTGCCCCACAGGTTGCTTGAATGGTTGATAGTATGAGCTTGWGAATCCTCTGTCTGCTGCACAGGAGATTTCAAGGCTTCTGCACCGTCACGGTTGGGTGTGACAGGGGAGAAAGCAGACGGGCGTGGCAGGTCCTTAATCTCATTGCTCTCCCTGATTTCTCTCTCGCCGGTTATACTTGGTTTTGCCAAACTCTGACTTTCCTTACTGACCGGACTGTCGCACCCAACGTCTACTTCTTCTGCATCGTCATTGCTGCTCTCGTCTTTGTTCTCTTCCTCGTCAGGTTTGTCAGGACTTTTGTTCTGGACAGGAAGGACATTTGTACAGTCCTTAGATTTGACAGAGACGCCTTTTGCCACGGCTTTGATCTGTCGGGGTGTTTGCACGTTTTTCTGTGACATGAGGGAGATGGAGTTTTTACACAAGTTGTATTTCATGTGATTGAACAGATGAGACTTTTCGTTGCAGGTGAAAGGACACTGGAAACATTGGTACTTGAAAGGCTTTCCAGGTGGACGAGGAATGTAGTGAGGCCTTTTTGGCTTGCGTTCCTGGTCGATGTCCATCTTTACTCTGCTGCAGGTTTTCTGAAAAAGAAAGCACGATGTAGAGGTTGAAAATTATTTTTTATTAAAGCACAATGTGAAGGTGAGAACCACCCACCCCCGCCCCACAAATAAATGGTTTTGGTGGAAACATATACTTATTTTTTTTTCTAAGCTGTTTTTCAAGTAATGAACCTAAAGTTATAGAGTTGTTTGACTGGTTCAGATGGAAAGCTGTCGTCATTGGGAGCTTTAACTTTGTTTTTTTCCTGGCTGCGTGGCTAAAATAATTTTCTACTGCACAAACACTACACCCTCAGGCTACGTTTGTTCTTTTACACCAGGATGGATAGTAAGCAAAAATGTATTTAAATTTGTAAACCTGTCTACTCAATGCAAAATTGTAACCTGTGTGTTTGCATTTATCCTGTCCAGTCTCTGTTTGTTTCGGGTTATTGGTTCCAGTGAACACACGCATACGATTTGTCTGCTCGCTCACCTGTCAGTTTATTTTAATATCTCCTTTATTTGTCAGTTTTATCCAAATTAYAGGGCCGCCAAACCACCAGACAGATTACACTTAGTTTCACAGACCTGGAGGGCATGCAGAGACTTGCTTTCTCTTACAGCTAAACTGAGCGCTGTCGGCGTGGGAACTACGGGCCGACCTGCTTACCAACCTGCTTCCCATGACTACACCTGCGGGATGCATTCATCATTTGATAAGCTCTGGAACTGTGTTGCTCATCCTTGCTCATTCTGTTACCGCAGATTGGATGATTGAAACCATTTTAGCTGAAGTGTGATGTAAGCAGGTTTTGAAACGTTTGTTCCTTTTTTTTTTAATGAAACATCACCTGGAGTTGTTAGCTTAGGTTTGCTGGGTGTGCATGGAGAAACCTGCTTGTCGTGCGCTGTCGCAAGAAGTTGTCGCTCAAGTTTTCGCTGAAGTAGCGTGACAGAACACTCCCTTTCCAAAGTTATAAAATCGGCAGAAAATGCCCTTTTAACACATTTGCAACATGAAGACAAATCAGGCAGAATATTTTTAGTCAATTATATAATATCATCCTTTTAAAAAATCACAAAGCACTATGCTACAAAATGTTAAAAGATTAATGTGTTTGTAAATACTTTACACTTATTTATTCTTCCATCAATACCTTCAGTCTAGACATGAYCTAACAGATCTGTAAGTAACAGGTGCATGCCTTTCTTAAACCTGCCCTAAATACAGTTAACAAGTCACTGACCATTACCAGAAAGACTTTTAAGTGTTGCAAATAAAAAAAGGTAGTCCAATGCTGCTTCCTTGTCAACATGATGACACAAATGAAAAAATGATTACCTTGTCTAATTGAAGCAAGTGTCGTCTTCTAAGAATGAAGCCTGTAGAGAAGTGGCCCCAGTTCACAGCCAAAGTCAGTATCTGGTCCGAGCGCTCGTTTTAATAGCTACGAGCTGTGGATGTGTGTGATGATGAGTGTGATGTTGTTGGTTGTGCGMTTAGTTTGCCTCTCTAAGGTGTTGTCTCTCCAGTGGGTGGTGCTTCAGCCCAAACAGCAGGGCCCTCAGGCAACAATGATCCACCTGATATTAGTCAGGCCTCAAGCAATGATTTAAATGTTGAGGTGGGAGATCTCACTCTTTCAGGTTTCATCTCTGTCATTTGTTAAAGTGGCCACATGGGCCTCAATCTACAATATGTTTATATAAAGTTTGTAAAGTGAAGGTGAACAGACAGATGAGACTTGCACACTGCTGGTTATTTCCTTGATGAGCTGTTAAAGATGGCGTTTACCTGAGTTTTTACCAGAGAATTAATAAAACAAAAGGATGCTCTGTGTTTAAACTAAATGACATGCTTTCTTTATGATTTACAAATTTTCAAACCTAAATCTTTACAAGGTAAAAGTAACAAAAGGCAGTAAGTATTATTCGATCTTGGCTTCCATCCTCATGTTTATGATAAAACATCTGTTCTTGTGTTTTTTGCAGTCGTGCCACTTATCATCAAGTCCCTGACCTTCGAGGAAAAGAGGGGAGCGTGCAGTGTTGGTTCCAATGTGCGTGATGCTGCCTGCTATGTGTGCTGGTCTTTTGCCAGAGCTTATGAACCAAAAGAACTAAACCCTTTTGTCAACCAGATTGCAAGGTAACACTTTATTTTATTTTATTTTAWTTATTTTATTTTTTATTTTTTTACACATGTTCACATACCTTTGTCAAAACTAAACTACATAAAGAGAATGTTTCTGTGTGCRATATTTAATCCTTCAGTGAAAGCAGAGTAATTCTTTTGTTGATYGTCTAATTTTAGAAGCAGTATCACTAAGTGCTTATTCTGGATAGTTAATTTTATTTTTTTAACTTGTAAATMATTTTTTAAGTTCAGACTTTTTGAAGTAGATTTCTGTGGAGTACTTATGAGTTGCCACTTACCTGCAACACACAGCGGTCAGGCTGATGTCAGTTTGGAAAGTCAGGCAGAAGTTCTCATCAGTTGTTGAGCTTATCTAACCTGGCCCAAGAACTTTGGATTTGCCTTTCTGTTAGCAAAACATCTCATGAATCCCCCAATAYATTTTAATGAAACTTTCAGAAAGTAATCATTAGATGWATATCTACAACTGATGAACTTTTGAAGTTCATCTGTTTCAAGATGGGTGAAACAGATCATTGACTGAGGATGACACACAAATGGCTATAACTCTGTAATTTTTACAGATATTGGCCTAAAATCTGGTATGGTYGTYGCTCTGACTCATCTTTCACACATTCTCTAAGTGCCAACAGATCACAGGAAATCTTTGTTTAAAACTTTGACATGAAACAACAGGGGATTTTCATCAAGGAACTTATTGCCCTGTGTTTGTGTCTAATGTAGCTTTTCTGAAATATAGAACAAACACTTATCTTTTAAAATCTCGCTTGCTTGCTTGCTTTCAGATGTGAATGCTTTCTAACTWAAAAAAACCCTGTTAATTTATTTAGAGTATTTTTATTATTATTTTGCATTCATTCTAATAACTGGTGAATCACTACATAAATGGTAAAATTTACAAAACACATTTTCTGTTCAAAAAAGAAAATGTGAAAATTGTCAAATTTAAAAACCAACATCAAATTCCATCTATTTGTGACAGCAAATTTTGAATTTAATTTGAGCTGGCTGGATATAATTAGCAGAAATGTGGCTAATGACCAARAAGAAAAAAATTGTGTAGGTCTTCTGGACGGGTTCTTCTCTAATGAAACGTTTCGTCTTTTCTCCAAGAGACTTCTTCAGTCTGAACAAGTCTCTTGGAGAAGAGACGAAACGTTTCATTAGAGAAGAACCCGTCCAGAAGACCTACACAATTTTTTTTCTTTTTGATTTCGTACCTGGATTACTGAGATGCATCAGGACTAATGACCAACATTGTCTGAGCAGGTTTCGTTGATTACTCCTGCTTTGTGCTGATAAACAAATTYAAGTCTTTTTGATTGCAGCTCCATGTCAAAGCCTTAATCTTTGCTTTTTTGCATAAAAGCTGCACAGTTTGACTGTTAGCTGTAATTTAYTGCCTGAAACCAGTTTTTCTGTGCCACATGGATGTGCCTGTGCAACTAGCTTGAGCTCATGAGCTGTTTTTCTGTATTTAGTCAAATTCTGCTGAAGGGTTGAGGAATTCCTGTATTTGCATCTTGTCATGCAGTGTGCTATAGTTGCATATGGGTTCAGGAAAAAAGGTTTCACGTTGAGCTAGCCTTGACTTAAAATACACCTGCACACAATGATTATATGTTTTGCTACTGGCTTCTGTTTTTTAAAATTAATGTTTTTTGTAGAACTATTAAAAGGTCAGTGAACATTTTCACTTGAACCTATTTGCAGATAGCTTTAGGAACAGTTTCTTTTTATCTAAAGGCTAGACATCTACTGAAAACTAAGAAGTATTCTCAAACTTGCACAATAATCTTCGTCTGAGGCAGACAATCATTCGGTGACGTACACTCACTCTTTGTTAACTCTTAACGGTTAGTGTCATGACTTTCTTCTGCCTGGCTTGTTGCAAGTACGGACCTGTGGCCTCTGACTGTGCAGACCAGCTCTTTTACTGTCAGTGTTAACCCCTTTGCAAGTCAGTTTCAGCAGCCGAAACAACACCCTCCCTTCCCCTGGCCCACAAGACTGCCAGGTTTCGCCTGTTGCTGTAGGTTTCGGTCGCCGTTTGGCAGAAGCTCTGGGACAAGCTGGTTCCTGCACAGTTCATCACAGCTTGATGACATTCACTGAAAACGCACATTTGTGAAAATGGGATGTTGTGACTTGGGGGCAAATATAACCAGTTGTGTATCTGTGTTTATGAAAGTAAACTTAGGTCTTAGTAACTGTGGCGTTGATGGGCGTAATTCAGCCTATTTTTCACAGCATTACCTAAAGTTGAAGCTGTGCAGTTGTTTTTAAGCCCTCTGGCTGTTTAAGTCAGACCAGGGCAGTTGGTAAATCACAATGCCTGAAACTTGCTGTTTGAAGGCAGGGTACACAAGGCCAACAGCAGTTTTTTCTCAGGTTGTCACAGTGGTGAATAAGAAGGCTGGCCCCCTTTAAACTGATAGTGTCCCACCCACTCTTGTGATATTCAGAGGCGATGTGGTGTGAAGGAATATTCAGGAAAAACGTGATTAGATAAAGCCCAGAAGTTGTGGRTAATAATACTGTGATACTGTTTCTCCTCTGTGCTGCTGAAATCAGTTTTGTGATATCGAGGCAAACTTAAACTATAAAGAAAAAAAGATTTTGATCATTTTACACAATCTTTGCCTCAAAATAAAGATAGAAGCTATTTATATGAAAATGGACATAAAAGTGTCTTGTTTTCCGCAGTGCTTTGCTGATCGCAMCTGTCTTTGATCGAAACATCAACTGCCGTCGCGCTGCCTCCGTAAGTTCTCCCATCGACCTCCAAGGATTTCCCAACTCAACACCCAGRTATATGAGAAAAGTAAATTTTGTTTCTCTTTTTCGTCTCAGGCTGCCTTTCAGGAGAATGTGGGCAGACAGGTTTGTGACAGAAGTTTTGACTACCCGATCACTGTGACAGAATAACAAAATAACCCTGATTTGATCTTTCTTTGCCAACAGAAATCCACTTCATGCTTAAGCTTGTTTTGTCACTTAGAGCTTTGAAAGAAAATGGCCTCCCAGTGTAGCTACAGGGCACAAGCAAACACTTGTTTTGCCAGTAGTCCTTGAGCTATAACTCTTCAGATTTGTCATTACTTGCGTTTGGAACCTTGTTAACTTTGCTTTATCTCAAAACTGCTCCTTCAACAATGGAGATCATTTTAAAGTATGCAACATTTCAATTCATGCTTTTATCTCAACAGGGAACCTTCCCCCATGGTATTGACATCTTAACAGCAGCAGACTACTTTGCTGTAGGAAAACTCAATAACTGCTATCTGAACATTAGGTAAGAAACAGTTTTTTGAGCTATAAATTCAACTGCTTTTTATTAGTCACAAACTGTTCAAGTGAAACTACAAGTCAGTCAAATGATTACAACATTCAGGTTTTATTAGAGGTTGAATCAGAGGATTGGGTGGCAGCAGAAAGTGTCTTTTCTCATTAATGTAGCAAAGATGTTATTACTCATGAAAGAAGTTGTCTGAATATTAAATATGTGTTCCACATTTTTATGAAGTGCTTCCAAAGATTAAATAAGTCATTGTGGCCCTGAAGCAAAGCTTTAATGAACTGATATGATAAACTGATGTTGCTTTATGCCGACATGATAAAAAGAAAGTTGTTTTTGTGTATAGTTGACTTTCTTGTTTCTGTGGTTACTAGGGGTGCACGGATTGCAGTTTTCTGGCAGATCACAGATCGTTAAAAGGCTGGACCTGCCAATTTCAATTTTGGCCGCTACTGATTTTTTTTTAACTGACACTGTCAGGTCACAACGCACTTTCAAAGTTCCAATCTTATTTTATTGAAAAATATTGAAGAGTACGCTTGAAATAATAACTGACAACAGCCTCCCTGTCACAACAGAGCAAAAGGGGACAGTGGCTGATTTTCAGACCTTTGTGGATAAGATAGGCTTCTTGTGTAAGTCTCAGCCGATCACCCAAAATGAAAGAAATCGTAGCCAATAAATCAGCCGGCTGATTAATCTGTGCACACCTAGGTTTTACTATTGGATATGRACGCCTCAGATAAACAAGAATACATAACTTATTAAAACTGCTAAGTTAAAAGGTAGGGTTGCGCAGATAATTCGACCAGCTGATTTCCTTACTTTTGGGAGATTAGAGATCGACCGATCCTAAGAGAAGATCAGTGGAAAAGATCAGCTTTCCTACCTCCACAAAGGTRTGAAAATTAGCCACTGTCCTCTTTTTCTCTGCTGTGAGCACTACCTAATATCCAGTTAAAACAAGTTTGTATTGTTTCAAGGGTACTGTTCYAAGTATTTCAGTAAAATAACATTGAACTTCTAAGTTGTATTGTGACTTTATAACATTTGACAGAATCTTATAACACTTTAGAACATCAGCAGGTCAGACTTTTTAGAAATCAGAGATTGGCAAGAAAACTGGAGTCGGTGCACCCCTATTAAAAAGCAATCTTTAAAAACTTCTTTAAAACATCACCTCAGTTGATTTAAGTTTGCAGGATTTTGTACGTGCACCTTTCTCTTCAGTACTTCTTCTCTAAAACCATTGTTTTCATTTTTGGTGTGTTTTTTTATATTAAAGATTTTTAAATCTTAACTAAATGAGCTAGAGTAACAACTACCAGATTTAGCTTTTGAAGAGGTGCAAACACTTTCTGAGAATCAGCAAATCAAATGAATTTGAATACCTGCACTCTCTCCTACCAATTTCTATAAAAGTATAGGAGTTTTTTTTTATTTAMTTTTTTTTCCTCTCTGCTTCTTAGATTTGGTTTCTAGTAAAACAGTATCAACTCTTCTGAATAATGCATGGACCTTTGGGACTTTCTGTTGGATACCAACATCAGAAATGAAACAAATCAGATMACAAATTCAAACACTTAAGAACTGAGAACTTTCACGAAACGTGTCACCACCAAAAAACCCCAAAAACAAATGTGAACACAGTGACAGTGCAGAAAGATGGTAGCCCTAGGGTATGACTCACTGCAAAACTCCGTATAAAGAAAGACGCAACTTGAACAAAAATGTCTGCGTCTGAGAGATGCACATGTAATTGTAATTGTTTAACTTTTGTTCTCAGTGTATACATAGCTGGTTTCCCAGAGTACACCTACTCCTTGATAGACCATTTAATATCCATGAAGATCAACCACTGGGATAGGTCAGTACTTGCCGCTATTTCATACTGCAATCTTAGTACCAATAAATATAAAGACATATATTCTGAAATATTTAAAAATATATATCCTTTGGAAACGCTCTTGGTTGTGTTTCACAGTGTGATCCGAGAGCTCGCCACTAAAGCACTCCATAACCTGACGCCTCAAGCACCTGATTACATGGCAACAAAAGGTAAACAATGTCACCTTACCTGTTCATCAGCTAGTGATCAGCTCTCAGTTAAATACCCTACAAGAAGCACATTACTGTAACCAAGCAAAAGCTTTAAAGATGATTATGAGCAAATTTAACACACTTTTTTTTTCTTTGTGGTTTCAGTTTTGCCACAGCTGTTGACCATGGCGGTGGGCATGGACCTCCAAGGTCGTCATGGAGCCATCCTGGCGTGTGGAGAAATCACACATGCTCTGTATAAACTGGGCCTTCAGACCAACAGGTAGACTGGAAACATTAGACCTACATTAGATATTGTGGGCTGCTATACCCATCAGTCTTGTTTCTCTTTTTAAACATTCAAGCACATCAATTAGCTTAACATCAGAAAAACTGTTGTTTAACAGGACCGTGGTGGACATCATTTCTCAAGAAAATGTAGACGCATTAAAGAACATCCACAATCATGTAAGTGTTTAAAAAGTTTCTTTAAAAATACATGTTGCCCTAATAATTTGTGATCAGTGTCTACAGTTACTAATATTTGTTGACTTATTTTTAGCTGCTTGAACGAAAACAATACAGGTAGGCAACAATAATCTGTTTAGCTGCTATATTTGCTGTTAAACTAAGTATTTTATATGATTAAATTCTGCTCGTCTGGCACAGGGGCTTTGGTGGAGCACTAATGAGACCAGCAAGTAAGTATAAAGACTAAAATGAAAATTGGCTCAGTTTGTTTGGTTGTTACAAAGATAAATAAATAAATAATATTTTCATCTCAGTTTTCAGCCTAATAGAAAAGCTGTCTCTGTCCAAAATGCCTTTTAAGGATGACCCCATCATCAGTAAGTCAGCAGATGTTTTTACACTTATTTTTGCTGCACTTCAGAGCTGAAGGTGTTTGTGTTGCAGGCGGCTGGCAGTGGGTCATCGATGACACCATTCAGTCACTTCAGCTCTTTTCAAGTGGTGCAAAGGATGGCATTACTGTAAGCTTGTAGATTGTGTTTTATCTATAATTTTCACATAGAAAAATAAATGCGATGGTTGAATTTATGCACTTATTTTGTCTAATATTTAAAAATAGTACAAACCTTTGGATGAGTCTAAACAAAGTGGCAGATCTTAAGAGACGGATTAGCCAACAGACACTGTAACTTTCCAGATTGAAACCTTTTGTATTTTCTTTATAAATAAGTGATCGTCTTGTTGGATCTGCAGGCTGCAGTAGTCTCAGCTCTGTCTGCTTTGTGTGAGGAGTACTACCAGGATGAAACAGGCCAGGTTGACACTCAAATGCAAGGCAGGTTTTTTATTTWTTTTTTTGCAACACAAGCCATTCTAAACACGAAGACGTGTGTTTTKTGACTTTCTATTTGCGCACATACTTAGATGTCCTGGTATCCCAGTACATCAATGGGCTGGAGAGTCCACAGATTCTCARTCGAAGTGGATCTGCTCTGGCCCTCGGCTGTCTGCCAAGAGTTATGATCCACGGCAAACTGAAACAGGTGGGTATTTAAAACACGTGCACATCTTCAGTGTATTCCATACCTCCTTTTTTCAGTTTGGGAGGATAAATTACTTCTTTGTATTTTAGATCTTAGACGGTCTTCAGCAGATGTGCACCGTCACTCAAAAGGAGGGGAATTTCACAGAGGCGAGGAGAGATGCAGTCAGATCAATAGCTCAGTGAGTCTTTCGCTTTTATTTTCATTTTTTCCTGAAGGTGCAGCACATTAAAGGTCTCTTTCGCTCTTCAGTTTTGTGTTTTCTCTACTAGCTTTTTTATACATCAGTGTCATTAGTACTGCTAGAATAAACACTGTTCACTGACTATATTCACGTGTCGTCCTTATTTTAGATTTTGCGTTACTTGAACTTGTTTTCTCTCTGCAGAGTGTGTATGAAGGCAGGTGTTTGTGCCGAAGGATCCCCCGACTCGGTCCTGTGCTCGCAGAATATCACAGATGTGTACAGCGTTCTGCTCAGCAGTCTCAATGACTACACGTCAGACAGCAGAGGGGACGTAGGAGCCTGGTGAGGACTGCTCTCGTTCAGTAACGCACATTTGAAAAAATACAAAAAGCACACAGGCATTTTCTTGCCCGAGGCCCCTGGTGTTTCTTTGTGACCCTCAGAAGTAGAACACCGTGCTACTGTCACATGTAGCTTCAGGCCATGCTTACGGACTCAGCAGGAATGTCACCTGGCTTGTCACTTGTACTTAGCAACAAGGGATGGGCTGCTTTTTTTTTTTCAAGCTATCTTATAATCTTTCATTCCTCTGACTTATTTTTTGTTCTGCTTCTTAACATCCCTTCTTCCTGTTATTTTCTTTATACTACGTGTATCTAAAGCTCTAACGTATACAGTATCGCTTGTTATTATTCAAATAAATAAAAATGTGGCTGGAAGATAAGCTAATATACTAAGATTTTGTTGGATTTACTTTCTTAGCCTCAATTTGAAATTTTACAGTAAARACAGTGTTTTAATCAGAGGGGTCAATGTTAAGGGTGTTGTGGAAATATTTTTTTCTTAATCTGCCTCGTGAATCTTGGCAACTACAGTGAAATCAACAACTCTTTTATGTGGTTGGAAATAGTGCAAGAAGCTGCTTGCTCCATTAGATATGAAATAAAATATGACTCAGTGCAGCTCTTTTTCAGTGGAAAACTCTTCTCAACTCCCTCAACTCCCTCCAAAGGTTTTCGATGGGGTTGAGATCGGGAGACTGGCTAGGCCACTCCAGGATTTTGAAATGTTTCTTAC